TAAATCACTTGTACCAGTGCACTGACCCCATTATGTCAGCTAATCCTGGGAATACAGGAGGTAAATTTAAATCTCTTCATTCGGAACATTTAGTCAATATTCTTTTTTCTATATATATTTTTTTTTTGTTCTGGCAAAGCATTGGGAGGTTTATATTCCTGTCCATCTTTCGCCCTAGACTATAACTTTCTGCGTAGTTGCAATGCCTGGAGGAAGAGATCCAAGTACAACTTCTCCTGAGGGACAGAGCAGGCAGGCCATTTGAAAGGACAGTGCTTGTTTTTCACAAAATGAAAAAGAAACAGAAAGATCATGGGCTGTGTGAAGGGATGGGTGAGCTAATACCGGTGCACAGGGGATAAACCAAGTTCCCTGTGTCTCTATTCCAGCATACCATCTCAGAAGTTTTACTATCCCCTCATCAACAACACACCTACATGCTGCCCGTGTTTCCTGCTTATGTTCACCCACCACCCAATTACCAGTCCATGAAGCTCCACACCTGCTGTGTCTTGATCCTCAGAACACTAGGCTGAAGCTTTTAACCCTCTCCAAACACCTACACAATGCTTTATAATAATAATATTTAGCACTAGGGAAGCTACACTAAGTAATTACAGACAGTACTTCAAACACTAAGATGAGCAGATCCTTACACACAGCTGAAGATCTGCAGCAGATAGACCTACACGGGAAAAGCACAGTTGTTTTCAGTCCATGAGTCATGTTTACGTCTCCTCAGAGAACTGTGAGTCCTGTCTCCTGTTCTTGTCCTAAGACTTGCCATAATAGATATTTTTTAAAGTCCCAAGTTTATGTGGAATTAACGTGAATTTGTGGAAGAACAGCTTGCAGTATGACCCTTTTCTGTTCTAAACACTCACTAATCTTACATTCAAAAAGAAAGAATCAACATGTTTAAGTATCTATGTTTCTCCTTTCCTCCTTGTTCCTCACAGAATGTTTGAGCTTTTTAATTCCTGTCTCATAATTCTTTAATTTTCCTTCTGAGAGTACAAAGACATTCACATACTGGACTCGACTGAAAAGTACTTGCCTTCAGTCCGAAGGGCCATACATCTCAATCACACGCGTCCGCTACTAGCACTTCTTCAAAAGCACAAAAACCTTAAAATCCCTCTGAACGCTGAACTAAGGTTAATTAGAGCAAGACATTCATAACAAATGTGGGAAAACAAAGTAAAGAACTATCTAAGGAGTTGATCAATTTCAGCACATTAAATTTACACTTAAACGCCCTTAACCACCTTGTTTTCTATCATTGTTGACTTGTGCAAAATGTCCTCTACAATATTACAGCAAACACAGAATTGAAGTCTTAGGTTTTCATTTATCTCTTCTGATGATGTAGTAACAATTGGTCTAATCTAGTCTAATCTATCATTTGAAGTTTGTTTCATTATCATCTTTCAGTTCCATGCTTCTCTTCTAAATGCAGAAGCAGCATTTTTCTTGAAGAATACATGGTGTGAGTAGACATCCAAACTCATTCCTTTGTCCTTTTCAAATAATCCAACATGATGGTTCAAGCAGTGGTGGTAGAACGTGAGACTGAAAGACCGTAACCATTTTTTGATTGGTGTACTGAACACAAGTTATGATTGAGAATGCAGGATAAACAAATATGTCAGTTAAAGAGAAAATGTTAGAGTGGAAGTTATCAGAAAAAAAGACAGGGATGGCAATTACTTAATAAAATATGCCTGTATAAGGAGCACGCTGTTGGCATTCATCTTCACAATATTTTATAAATTATTTTTACGTGGTGCTGAGGATCCTTTGCAAGATGTCCAGCACCTCAAAAACTACTCAAATGTAGCATTTCGTATAAAACTAACCACTATTTACTCTCTGTGTTTAGCAAACTTTGTTAGAAGCCAGGTTTATAAAAGAGTTTATAGGATGCTTGACAAAGTTAAGCATCTTCCTGGCAAAGATGGAGTGCTGATTTAATTTAGGGATGGAAAAAAAAGAGTATATTACACAAAACTATGCATATGTAAACATAAAATAAGCATGTATCAGAAATCCTCATTTCTCTGTATCAATTTGAAATAAGAAAACACCACCATAATGTGATAACTGCAAATACTTGTAGCAATGGTAAGCTGAAATGAAGAACAATTTCAAAATAGCATCACTGAAAGAAAAATTATTCAGAAGTCCAAACCTTCACTAGGTATTCAAAACAAATACTGAGTACAGGTAAACAAAGAGTAACTCTCATTTTCTTTAAGCATTCACAATCCTTCAGCTTCCCAGGTTTGCATGTGTGCAGGAGAACATGGCACAGTGACAAAACCATTAGTGTATTGTTGCTTTTCATACAATCGTTCTGAACAAGTCAGAAAAAAATGTATCAAAAATTGCTCAGCCAGTGACATTCCTGGCAGATTGGGTTAGAGCCCGTACTTTACAACCCCAGGAGGTTAGTATTTCTTCATTTCTATGGCAATTTATACTAATCAATCACTTCCTGCTCTTTCTTCTCTCACTGTATTTATTTCTATGGCAATTTATACTAATCAATCACTTCCTGCTCTTCCTTCCTTCACTGTATTTTCATACCCACTAACTAGGATAAGCAGCCTTGTAGCATCTCAGTCATCATTTCCTTATCCCCTCTCTGCCATTGTCTTTTTGTGCTGAGACTAATGCTTTTAATTCTACTTTTCACAGTGTTGAGGCTGTATTGCCTTTTCGAAACCTTTCAGCTCAACTGCTAAGCGTATAACAAAGCCCTTCAGATTGCTTTTGGTCACACTAGTTCATGTTTTGAAAATACTACAAAGGCATATTTTTCATGAGAGAAGAGCCTTGGAACGAATATGCTTCTCCAAGTGCAATATAAATGCCTTCAGATCTTTTGTAAAATTTGCATTGAGGTTTAAGTCTCACATACAAAGTGGCACCATACTGTCCAACAAACATAGGTTTCTTTTTTAAAAATTGTGGGCTTGTTTTGGCTCTATTTGTAAGTTATTTTTTGAAAAATGCATTAAAATACAAGAGCTTTGTTCTTTGTGTTTCAGTTCTGACACAAGGAAGTAGTGAGCACCAGAATGTTGTACTTCACAAAATGAAACTGCTTGATTCATATAACTTCAGTGACCTTTTAATGCAGACTTATCCATAGTTTTTACAAAGCAGCAGGGATCATTTATTTAAAGGAAGCTGCTTTCCCTCTAGACCTTTACTTCTTGCAGGAAGTACATCAGGGGTACGCTTGAAGCCATAACATAGCTTTAAACCAGTGCTGATAAACTCACGTGGGCTGTGGCTTCAAACGCCAGAGTAACAGGAGTAAGAACAGAGAATAATTTTATTTATTTTCAAAACATTGGAACATCTATTCTGGCTTGAGGAACATTTGCAAAGCAGATCAGATCCAATAGGATTTGTGATCACTTGCCATTTCTTCATTATTTATCATGTGTACTTTGGTAGCATCTACAGGCCTTACTCTATAGGGGGCTGTACAGACACTGAAGAAAAATGTGCTCTCTCCCATTTTTTTTAATATAACATGAAGTAAATGAATACTATCCCATCAAGGTCTTGCTTTAAATGCAAGATATTCCAGGTTTCAGGTTTAAAAGGTTACGTTTCTTTTTAGCATATTCTATGCGGTCGAATGACTCCTGCATATAGAAATACACGCCTACAACTGTCCCCCTCTCATCAATAACTTACTAAGCTTAATTAATAATGAATGTACAGATATGAAAAACAGAATTAAACCAGAAGGATCTAAACTGAACACTATCTACCATTAACCCCATATACATTGTGATTGCATAATGCCTCTGAAAAACGTTAATTCATATGCAATTTAATGCAAATTCACATGCAATTTAATGCAAAATAAATGGAGAAACTAGAAAAGGATGAAGATGAGAGAGTGGTGCAGGAAAAAATAAGAAGTGAAATACATTTCCAAGGGGTACAAACAATCCATTTTAGTGAACATGGAAATTTTGATACAGTTTAATGTGAAGAATAGAAAATCAATTTTTTATAAGTGAAATGTGAATGCTACAAGTGTGGAAGAGTTTGTGAATCCAGAAAAAAGTATCTTAATACCAGACGAGACCTTAAAACTTGGACAGTTTCATTTGTGTCACATAGCAATTTTCCTGCTGTAGAGACAAAAATAAAGAGGCTAAGCTGATCTGTCCCTGACTTAATATTGCATTTAAACTACCCAAAATTGTTATAACTCGAGATTCTAATCTGGTCTAAGGATGCTTTCAGTTCACATTTCCTGTTATCTCTTTCCTGCCTTGATTTCGCAGTTGTCTCCCGTCCAAGTTCTTCAAACTTTCTAAGAACTGCATATACTGCCTTCAGCAAGTGATGAGCCTCTTCAAATTCAGAATCAATGACACACCATGAATAGCCTAATTGAAGTGTTAAAGAAAATCGCTACAGCCATTGGACAAAATTGCATCACGACCTTGACCCCAGTTCAGGAAAGCACCTGATTCAACATAGCTTCTATCTTTGTCCAGCTTCTTCACCATGAAGTTTGTAGCACCAAATATCCTCTATTACCCAGACCTATTCAGCAAAAAAACCTCCGAAGTTTATTGCCAATAACATAAAATAAGGCAGCAGGACACTCTAGCTGACATTAAGAGTTCCCTCTAAATTTGGGTTACTCAGGGGATTGATTTAATCTGACATATCCTGGCAGGGTTTGGAGAGTGCCAAGCTCATATCCAAACCGGTGATAACAAATTATATACTGTGCCCTGTTTCTGAGTCAGAGAGGCAATGAAGTCCACTTTGAAATATGCATTTTTCTGATTTAAAAGAAGAGCGTAATTTACAATATATCTGGCTTGTCACCACAACATGGGAATAAACAGATATTCCAATTTAAGCAGGCAACTGTTTAAGCAGCAGCAGACTACTCAGTATACATATCTATGAAAAATTTTCAATAACTCACTGCAACAAGCACAAGACGCTCTTACCTGCAGGTTTGCACACGCTGGTGAATCGTTGTGGGTGGGTATTTCATTGTTGGTGGTCTCTGAACCTGCGTTTTTAAGTCTGGAAGCTGTTGTTGTAGTGGCTGTAGTGGTCTGTACCGGTAAGATCGGCTGCCACACGTTCACGTCAGTACCGTTGCCGAAGGCCTGAATTGCATTTTCTGTAAAAATAAATTACAGGCAATTTTCTATTTCTAAACAAATGGCAGAAAGCAGAACTGACTTTTTAATCATTATTATTATTATTATTATTATTATTATCCCATTGGAAATGTGTATTTATAGAAGCTCAATTTTTACGCCGAAAAATTTGCCTTAATTTTGAACGTATCAGAAACATGAACTGAGTCCGGGGTCACATAATTATCTGGTGCAAACTCTTCTTTGTAATGTTCCTAGTAATTCTTGACAGAAGCTCTGGGATTTACTGTAATCATATTTGTTACCATCCAAAAGACTCAAAAATTTACTTTCAAGATTTAAAATACAGTTTGAATGTCATGTCCTAATTCAGGCAGGTGATGATACACAGCAAACTGAAAACATAGAGCAGGCAAAACATTAATTTATTTCTGTAGCTTGTTGTAGTAAAACTAATATGCCTATAACTACAAAATAGTTTAACTAAGACAATCTTTTCCTTACAATTTTCAATCAAAATCTGCATAATTAGGTGAGGGAAGCATGCTTAAACTAAAACTTTAGAATATGAAAGTTAAAAAGCTTATCATAGTTTCATGGGATTAAAGAGTGTGTTTATGGCAAGAGTAAATTGGTTGAGGTTTTTTATAAACAAATAGAAAAACAGTTTTTAATCAGGTCTTTGGGGATTCAACATGGATTTAGGGATTTCTTATTTCAAATTCTTTATACAAGAAATCAAACAATTTCACTGGGGACTAATATGTGGAAGTTATTAATACTCCTTCTCAGTGGTATTCCTTGTCTTATAAAATAATTTACATTTAATTCTCATCTGAAAAAGATGTATTTTATTCTCATATTAGTTCTTAGAACCTCAACATGCAAAGAGAAAAATTTGTAAAAGGCACCACAATCAGCTGGGTTGATGCAGACCAAGTGGGAAGACTGGAATGATATTTTTCTTGGGTTTACCTGAATAAGGAAATATTTAAAGCAGTATTTTCCTGCCATTTCCTAAATTAACAGTAACACTTTGTGTCCATTATTGTGAGAAAGATTACAGAAATATATGGAATCCTTCCAGTTTTCTAAGTAAAAGTGGTCTTTACAATTAGTCATCTTTAATTATGTCACACAATCATACTTGATGATTGTTACAGGTCCCTTCCAACTTGAGAACATACAATCTCAAGGAGCAATGGCTTTAAACTGAAAGAGAGGAGATTTAGATTAGATCTAAGGAAGAAATTCTTCACTCTGAGGGTGGTGAGGCACTGGAACAGGTTGCCCAGAGAAGTTGTGGATGCCCCATCCCTGGAAGTGTTCCAGGCCAGGCTGGATGAGGTTTTGAGCAACCTGATTGATCTAGTGGAAGGTATCCCTGCCCATGGAAGGGGGGTTGGAACTAGATGACTTTAAAAACTCCCTTCCAACCTAAATCATTCTGATCGTAATATTTCAAAAAGCATAATGACTGTAAGGAGATGCTTCAAGTGTCTAACTGCTCTAGTAAAGGTCCTTTCAATAATTTTTGTTAACTAACTCACTGCTTTATGCTTTTCCTCCCACTTGTCAATATTTTTTACTGCAGTATAAAGCAGGTTTAAACAAATCCTTCGAACCGATAGGTAGATATACTGAATTCCATTCAGTTCAGTAGGAATTCTAGACTACGTAAATGAATGTCAGGACATTCACTTTCAGAGAAGTTAAAGTCTTAAAATGGATATCAAGAATTTAAGACTGGACTAATCCTAACTGGAGAGGTAGCAATTAGGACCACTGTAATATTGCCAATAAATTTGCATCTTCCGATAAAGAGGATAAAAGTATAAGCAAGGTAATACACAACTCCAAATTTTAGAGTGGAATATATCATACTTGGAGTTTATTTATTTGGATTTTTAGCTTTCTTGAGATTAAGCCAATTTCACAGTTCTGATAGAAACTCATATTCTGGAGGACAATTCTGAGATAAAGAAACAATTTATCTAATACAGGTAAAAAGAAAACAATGCAATGTTTGTCTTTATTGAGACTAATTATTAAAACAGACTGAAATTTTCACTTGTATTTTCACATTCACCTTTCAAAATCAAAACATTTACCCTATTTGCAACAAAACATGAGTTGCTAAACGCTTTTCAACTCTAAAGTAGAATTTCTAGGCAAGTGCACACAGCGATGCAAGAAAGACCAGGATTTCAGGTGTGTTATGTGGGACATGGTAAACTCAGTTTCATATCCCAGCCCCACATCAAGCACAATATGAATGTGATCCCAGGTCTCTTGCTTTCTGAATCCCCTAATCCTCAGGGTACAATCTCAGATATTCCACTTTGCATAAGTAACCAAATGGGGTTTTGAATAAACATTTAACATAGGTTTTCCACATCTTCTGTAAATGCTCCAAATCACTGGTTTATTCTCTAATTTGAAGGAGAAGTATACTTTAGCAAAACAGACTAGCAAGAAATTCCTAGTTTCATCCCACTGTGGAAAAAGGATTTTTGCTTTGTCTAAAAAAAGTGGGAGGAATTTTATTCTTATCCAATAAACAAAGGACATTTTCTTCAGACACTGTAACACCCATTAATGACAATAACAATTAAAAGAAATAATTTGAACTTCTTCCAGAGAAAAAACTTTTTATTAAACCAGAAACATCTTTAATTTCTTCATGAAGAACACTTCTCTTAAAGCTAGCATGACTATAATTTGTCTCACAGTAACCTCTAATGTCTTTGATTTGTCTTCATTAATCCTGTTATACCAATAGCAAAAGGAAGGACAAGGGATCACTCTGCCTTTATTTTCTAAAAGGAACCTGTAACATTCTAGCAATTAATGCATTCACAAATTAATAAAATCTGATGTATTACTGTATATATAAATGGCAAGCTCTGTTAAGTTTGAAGAAGGTCTGATGCTATATTGTTAACTTTTACCCCATCACAGTCTGAATAGTTTTCTGGGTTTTTTTGTTAAATGATCTTGAGTAATTGATTCATTCTTCCAAAGCTTAGCAAATAGTGTATCGAATAGCAACTCAAGTCACTAACTTTTTGTATGCAAATCTCCCATATCTTCACAACATGTTGCCTGTTGAGACGCTATCTATGGAGATTTTCAGACCACTATACTAAAACACAGACTGCACCCTGCATTAGCATTAGCTCAAGTATATAGAGCTGGATGGGACAGTCTGGATCACTGAGTTTGTTTGCTATTTTTGACAAAAGCAACGTATGTTTCTTTTCATACGCTGATGAAATAAGACTTGTAAAACTGGTAAGAATTTTTTACCCTAAAAACTCCTGCTGGAAGCCTATTTCTTAACTTGCATCTGATGGTTAAAAATTTTCCAATTTTGAGCCTAAATATGTATGGCAAATATCTCCCTTTTTGATCTCGTGCCAACATTGTCCTCTAGGTTAAGTAATCCTTTTCCCTCCTTAGGCTTGCCCCTCTAATACAATTTCAGAGGGCAATCATGTATCCTTTCAACTTCTGTTCTGCTAGGCTAGGGAAGCCAAGCTCTTTTGGTCTCCTCATTTATCTGAAATTAAAACTCTGATGCACGCTCCACATCATCCAATTATGCTGCTCCAGGCAGACAGGAAATTTGAAAAGAGAACCTGACAAAATCGACTCCACTGAGCCATTCCAAAATTTATAATAGTCCCTAATTTGGAAGTGAGTTTGACTGAAAAAAAAATCAATAATTTAACAAAATCTTGAAAATAGGTACCATCCAGACCTGTGTTAAAACCAGGCATCTGAGATCAAGTAGCCTAAAAAACCTGAAGCTTGGCTATAAATTGCAAACACAATCCAATTTAAACTTACCTACAGCAAATCCTTCATATCATAAACTACATGTCTCTTTTTATATCAAGTTCTTAAATTATACAGAAGCCCCTCAGGTGTTGCAATTTTTTGGTACAGATGTTGCCTGACTGTTAGGGTCCAAACACGATCTGTGATGTAAACATATTTCTATACGATACAACTTTGTTATTTGAATTTCTTTCCAAGAGATTCTCATGTTTGCAATCTTGGTCGTAAACCATAGTATCCGGCATATTTTCTTGTTTGTTTCTTACACCTACAGCAGAATCATGCTTAAAAAGTGCAAAGAGATGGCCTTGATGTATCATAACATACTTAAATAGTAAAAAAATTCCACAAAAACATGCTAAAACACATTTAAAGAAAGACATCTAATTTTGTACTCACTAAGGCATATATTGTCCTGGAAGAAATTGAGAAATTTCAGGCATTCATCTATGTCGTTACCGCTGTTGCTGCAGTCACACCATGGGGCAACGCTGAGACTGTTTGAGTCTATGTAGTTTGGTGTCATCACTGTGCCTATCAACAAAGAGTGAAGTGCAGCACGTGAACAACTTTTGTACCAAAATATTCTTTCTATACCAAGAAGATGGCAAACAGCAGTTGGTAAGTCACGTATTCAGAGCTGGATTCACAATGCAGACCCATGGCAGGGCTCTAACTTCCAGACTTAGTATTTCCTGCCTCCCTCTGCCCTTTGACACTCAGCCCTGTGCCGTACTTCACACCCTCAGTTGTTTGAATGGAACCGCTTTAGGGATTGTAACATGACTCACACATTAAAGACCCGTTCCTTTCCTCCGAAAAGGTTTATATTGCCTTCCCACAGAGAGCTGCATCAGCAGAATTGACAGGTAGAAAACCATGGCCCAGGGGAGGGATGGATTGTGAGAAGGTAGAAAACTCTTAAAAGGGTTTTGCTGCCAAATATGTGGACCTGCGCCCTGAGAGGTGCACTCTAAAAATCCGATTTTTCTTCCTTGCTTGTGTTTTTTCTCATTTTTGTTCTAGCTGCAAATAAATGGCTTGAAGCTAGACATCCAGACCTGAACTTCCTCTTTGAGTCTGCAGCCAGCCTAGAAAAACAGTTTTGAAACACATGAGCAAGGAGAATGCTAGTCATTCTGAGAGGAGCCCTAATACATCTCGGAGGAGCATTGACCCCCAGGGTGCTCGTTAGGGACCTGCCAACAGTGTGGGTTACGGTGATCAACAAAGCAAAAACATAACCAGCACGCATAAAACCGTACAGTAAATTACTATTAAATAATAAATTACTATTAATCTTGCCGTGTCACTACTTTTTCAGTAAAGTGAATGTTTCCTAAACATTGTCAACAACTTCCAACAACAGGTTCACTCTAACTCTATTACAAATTCTTTGGTAAATATTCTCACATTTCTATGTCAACTCAAGGCTACCAAGAATGAAATGAAACCAATAAATGCATTTTGTGTCCTAAAAGATACACAGCAACTGTTCATCACTCATATGGATCAGGTAACTCTTGTACGACCAGCACTTATTCAAACCAGTAGTCTCACTGAAAGCATCGCCCCAGCAGGTCAGAGATTTCAAACTTCCCTAAGGATTGAGAAATTTGAACCTGTATTTTATTTGTCTAACCAAACAGGAAAAATTAAATAAAAAAGGGCAGGTATTCCAGACTTGTACTGATGACATCTGTTTCAGGAAACACGTTCCTCATTTGGCAATCTACAGTTCTAGGACAGGCTATATATCATGAGGAAATGTGATCACATCTCCTCGAAACTGACATCAAAGTAGTCATTAAGAAGATGGAATAGATGAAGGATAAATATTAGAGACCCAAAGTGTCCAAAGGTCCAGGGTCCCAGATTCTGAAATACCACATAGGAAAGGGCTATCAAATACCAAGCTAAAAAAAGGAACATTAGAAATAACATAAATCACAGAATGACATCAAATAGCCTTTCAGTCACCAGGCAGCGCTGAGAAGTGAACAAATCAACGTGCAAACTGCTTCACACATGACGTGGGAAACAGAGGAGAAGACGCATTAAAGGCTGGCCTGGGAAAGTCAGTAATACATGTGAAAATGAACGCAGTCCTACTGGCAAAATCACAAAAAGCATCTTTTGTCTTGTTTTCGGATATTCTTTAATTAGAATGTGATCCCATACCTTTATCTACTTCCAACTTTTAACCAATAGTTGCAGTAATAATTGCTCAAATTCTACACGAGATTAGCACATGAGTAAATAGCACAGTTCAAAATTTATTAAAAGGAGGTAGAGAATTCAGCAAAATAGGCAAATATCCTTTGCACCATTAATGAAAACTTGACAGCAGATAAATAAGAACAGGAATTATCTTAAATTAAAATAAACCAAATGAAAATATCTGTCCATTATTCATTTGATGGTTCAGTACACTATTTCAACCATTTAACATGATTTGAAAAGAAGTGAGACAAAATGAAAATCAAGAGGATTTTGCAAAAGGAAAGAAAACAGTAGGCTTTAAAAATAAAAAAAGGCTAAGTAGCAAACACTTGGTGAAGGGTTAAAAAAACAGAAAGGTATTCAGGAAATTAAAAAGGTCACAGAGGTAAGACTTTCTTATCATGAAGATGTAATAAGGTAATTAAAATGGGTCAAGACAGGGGCCAGAAGTGTAACAGATACCAAGCTACGATTAGAGTTGACGAATACAGGAAAGACAGGACAGAGAATGTGTATACACAGCACAGAAACTGTACATCCAGCAAAAACAGAGTGGCTGAAAGAGCAGCCAGTAGAAAATCAGCCTGTCATTTAAACCTGGGGGCAGATGTGAACCCAAGCAGATTATATGCTTGGTTTCCTGGGGTGGATATTCTTTTTTCCCTGCAATGTGTGTGCCTTCCCCTCCTCCCTCCCGCTAGCTGGCATCTTGGAAATTCTGCTGAAGGACACTAACGGATCAGAGAAACCATGGTGGTTGGCAGTAAAACAGGACACCCTTGTTTTTCTGTGCTCTCTCTATTGAATAGTGCCGTGATGGTCTCAGCAGCAGGCAGTCAGGTCTCCATATTTTAGAAAAAAAGCAGAGTTGACCTGAACACAGCCAAGAGTTTGCTCAATCTGGGGTCAATTAAGAATGAGGAGATGTACGGTGAGTCCAGGAGAAAGGGCATGTGACTGAAGTTCCTTTGGCTCAATGCAACTCCTGTTTATTCACATAAACTCTCATGGAATTTCTGGAAGTCCCAGGAAAATTAGGCAGATTTTATAGAAAACAAGTGAAAATGTGTCAAAAAGCGAAGGCTAAAGTAGGTCTTGAAGTCAGCAGTTAGAGCACTACCTAACTGATGTGGGAGTGCAGACAGGTCCAGATGGTTTAACTAGGCTGTAACCAAAGCACTGAATCTCAAACGTGGCCGTCTCCAAAATTATTCTATATTTTTTATGTTTTTTCCTTTACTTTTTAAAAAACAATATAGTTTGTCCCTATTACTATAACAAGGAGCCTAAAGCAATGAATTAAGATTTTCAAAATTCCTTTAAAATATACATAACTTTAAAATTACATATATAACACTCTGATGCAAACCTTAAAGAGTCTCATATCGATTGTTCTACATTTAACTGGTAAAGCACCTGATAAAAAAAACTGCCTGACTCTATTCCCACTTAAGTCATTTATTTCAGGTGGGATTTCACTAATTCCAGTGAGGTTAACTCTGATTTACATCACTGTATGAGACAGCAGAATCACATCCTCTGTACCTTCCACAGAGAATCCTCAATTTCCTGAACAAATTCTATGGAGATACAATTTTTGCTACATTAAATGAAATGGCTAAATGAAATAATATTTTATCTTAATGAACAATATTTTATCTTAATTAAAACACCTGGAGATCCTGAAGCTCTGTTGAATGAATGGATCTATAACAGTTTCTTACCCACAGTCTATCTATCTCATCTTCCTGTGTTTTATATATATTAAGCAGGCATTTAAAAGATTTTACCTCTGATTTCTATCTCAGCATCTTACAAATTTGATGATCTTCACATAATTTTCTCTACTTTCATATCAGCTTTATATCAGAAGCAGGAATTTACTGCTTCAGCACATAAAAGTTTTGTTTTGGTTATTTCCATGGTTTATCAGAATTACTACGAAGAAGTAAAAACTCTGATAACACTCACCAGTACCCATCTTTTTGAATGTGTTTAAGGGCTGGCACCAAGGAAGAAAAATGTTTATTTTTCCCTTTGAAAATTAGATCACCTTTTGATTTCAACTCCTTAGGGATCCATTCCACATTTCTGATATGTGACAGTGTTTTGCAGCATGGATCATCCACAGTAACACAAAACCACCTGACTATAGGAACTGGGTCATCCTTGGGGTTAAACTGAAAAACGAATCCAACAAAACCGCCAGCAAAATTCACTACGTCCAGCAAGAACTTCTTGGCAGCTCTTACCCAGAAGTATCTATTAGTAACAGTTACTCTTTGCCAGCAGCTAGACTTCTTAATCTCATTGACTAGATCATATTTCAAGGCTATTCAATTCTTTGGTTTAGAGTCAAATGACATTCTGTCATAACTGCTCATATGTTATACCCTTTGCATACTGCCTTTATCTCTTAAGTCGTAGAAGCATGTCCTTTGAAACCATCAAATCTCATTTTACCAGTTGCCACATGGACTTACCTCACTTCTTAGCTGCTAGAGTAATAAAAACGATAACAATAAACCAGTGAATATAGCTTTCAGTCGTTTCTCAGCAAAACCAACCTATTTTAGAAATATTTTATTTTGGATATTATCTCCAGAGACATTTATTTAACAGCAGGATCTGCTTCAGGGCCTCAGCTGGGACCTTCACGCCCAACACAAGGGGATATTACTGCATCGCAGCAGGTGCAGGCTGTAAACTTAAAAACATCTTATCTAGTGGCCTTTAAAATTCGTTTGTTTCAGAGTTTTGACATTCACTTATTCTTTATTGCCCAACCATGGTATTGCTACAACAAGTTCACCTTCCTGAGATGATTTCTCTCTTTCAGGAATCAAATACTGCATAAGATATATGGAATTTGGCTTGCATAAAGCCATCCTTGTGCCTGGTGGCAGCAAACAAAATTAATTATGTTGGGAAGCAAACAGAATTTTAGAAGATAAATTTAGTCTCAGTTCACCTCCATCGACAGGCATTTCAGAAAATGTTTAGAGTGGACAGAAGGATATAGTGGAAAAAAACGCAGCTGGAAGTGAAACAAAGCTGGGTTGGTCTATTGTCTTATTCCTCAAATGTCCTGCAAACTTTCCCTGAAGACCAAGAAGTATTTACCCAGCCTTGTGATGACAGCTGCAAAATCAACCAAGCTGCAGTTCCACTTGTTCTTCTTAACCTCCTACTCCATGGTCCTGTCCAAATTCAACCACCTTAACACTTTGTAAGCTTGATTTTACTTCAAATTCAAGCACCTTTTCTCTCCTTATCTTCTGTCCTTAATTTCCTTGCAATGTACAAATTTACCCCAGGAAGCTCTGTAAGGTAAAACAGGGCAAATACACTTAGGTGGAGAATTTTGCCTAGTATCATATCGTACAGTATTATATTCCACAGTTTTTATTTCGCGTAGGCCTTCAAAATAGAGTTTGGCTGTTTTTCTTAGACCAAGCAAGCCTCCCCCCTTCCCTGCCTCCTTACCAATAAGCCCCGAGTAAGCGAGGAGGCAGTCAGCATAGTTCTCCTTCAGACAGCTACTAACAGACCGTGACTCAGGCTGGCAGTTTGTGAAGAAATCTGCAAGGCGAGATCTGCAACATGAAGAAAAATGCATATCTTTAAAAATCAAGCCTGCAGGCATTCTTACCTTTTACACTCTTTTTATTTTTCGACAAGGCTTAATATTCTTTAACTTAAATATATATTGGATACATTTCAGCTGATGAGAGTTTCTTTCTAAGACTCATCTCTTTCCAGAATCTATTTTTGAAGTCAGAACAAAAAAGTGTAAGAAAACAGTAAAAAGGGACAGAACAACAGAGAAATGCCTGCCCTTTATTAAAAGAAATGCTCTGCATTTTCATGTCAAAAAAACCCCAACAATGCAGACAAAGAGACATTTTATCGTATGAGCAGTCATTTTGTCTGGATCTGAACTCTAACTGGAATCTGTTCTTCTACAGATCCAGAACACAGTTTCTGCTGTTTTACTGATTAAACAAAACTGCATGTTTGTCCTCACAGAGTATGCTTACTACATGACTTGAGGCAGGACCTGCTTTGGTACTGCTCTGAGTTTCCAGGGAATGGGCTTATCCCTGCTTTGGACTGGCCTGCAGAACCAGCTGGCTGAACTGGTGGGACAGGCAGATCCAGATGGCATGGGCTCCACAGCCCCCTGGGGCCATGGTACTGAGAATCTATTTGTTCTTGTAAAATGTGCATTTATCAGAAGTCTACAGCGTTGAGTCTGGGGCTGAGAAGAAGGGAATGTGTGCTCTGCATCAGGTTCTGCTGCTGAATGGCCATGTTATCTTCACTTACCTCGGTCACCCCATGTAAGAGCAATGCTTACTTACAGAAAGTCCTTTAAGACTAGGAGTGAAGTTATATTGAAATTAACAGATTACTACTACGTTGGAAAACGCATAAAGAAAGGACTAGCAGCCAGGAACTCTTCTGGTTATTTGCACTTTAAAGGCCACAAAGTGCTTCCATTGAGGTCTGTAAAATTTGAGAGGCATCACTGTGGTGGGTCATGGCCCCACAGCCTACAGCTGCTGTCCAGCCCATCTTGGCCTGCTCTCCTCAGCTTCACTAATGCTTTCACTTTGACTTGTAAACTTGGAGCAGTGTCTTTTGTTGATTTCTAAAGTGTCATTCAGACTTTTATCTCCATGAACAAAATTAATTAACCTCCCTACTTCGATCTTCTTTTCTCTGAAAAAGGGATGAAAATGTTCTTTTGCATATAACAACTCACAGTGATGGTCCAAGATCAGGTGCTTAATCTTTGAAAAGCCCTTTCAAAATCAGAGCAGTATAATCTATGCATTTTCAGCATTGCTTTAGCATTATGTAGATTTGCAATATAGAAGTTCTTTTTCAGTTTTGCAACGAAAACACAAAAGTTAGCAGAAACAAGTGATTTGCAAGTGATTTACTTTATTTGTTTACATGCTCCAGAGACTAATTATGTGTGTTTGCTTTATTGTTTTACCTATCTCAGAACGGGATTGGATGTACATCATTAGCTGGCCTGAAAGTAATGATGGGCAAACTTCAAAAGGTTCACAGCCTTAGTTTGAGAAAGACTCCTATAAATAGACTGTATGCAAACTGCACCTGAATTTATCTGAGCTATTCTCATGACCTCTTTTTAGTTCCATTCCTTGGTAACTGTACTGACACCAGCCAACCCATGGTTGCCTTCAAACCACAGTCAACTGTAAGCTTATCACTCCCTCCCTTCCCTTATTTAATCATTTAACCTTCAGATGGACATCTGTACCCAGTTGCCTTTAATAGCTTTAAAAAGACAAGCTCTCTATCGATCCTTCAAGATCATAGAATCATAGCATGGTTTGGGTTGGAAGGGACCTTAACGATCATCTAGTTCCAACTCCCCTGCCATGGGCAGGGATACCTTCCACTAGATCAAGTTGGTCAAAGGCTCTCCAGCCTGGCCTTGAACAATTCCAGGGATGGGGTATCCTCAACTTCTCTGGGCAACCTGTTCCAGTGCCTCACCATCCTCACAGAGAAGAATTTCTTCCTTAGATCTAATCTAAATATCCTCTCTTTCAGTTTAAAGCAATTGCCCCTTGTCCTGTCACTACCTGTCCTTGTAAAAAGTCCCCCCCTTTAGGTACTGGAAGGCTGCTATAAGCTCTCACCAGTGTCTTCTCCAGATGCCCTACATTTATACATAAATTTCTAAATTTCCATAAAGTCTCTACTTTGCTGGTGAATATATACTGTACCTACTAGTGGACAGGCTGAGAAGAAACGGATTCCAAGGTGTGGCAACAGATAAATAGCTGCACCATGAAGAAAATCTGGGCAAGGAAACCCTATGATTCCTCTCTCAGTCAATAATTAAGATGGTGGCTCAGATCCAGCCTTCTGAGCACTTGGGAAAAAAGACAATTGACCGTTTTTAAGGATTTTACAAATTTTTCTAGTACCTGGATGAAGTCTGTTTTAGGACAAAAGAGAACCTATTACATCAATCTAGTACGAAAAACCTTTGCCGTGATAGAAAGAGCAAGTCTGCTGTATGTGCAGTATTTTTTTCTTCTAAAACAAAGCAGCTCCTCAGAGTTAAACTTCATTATTTATGTGACTACAAATAAATCTTTTTGGAGATGCAATTATTCAACCAGAATCTTGATAATCCTAAGAACATTTCTTGCAATCATTTCATCACTCTTAAACGACCAGTTCTCCCTTAGATTATTAGGTGCATTGATCCAGGTATCATTTAATATATTCCTCTTCTCTAAACATTTTTAAGGACTGATAACTATGGAATAACACCAGTCATTTACTACCCAGTTTGCTTAAAGAATTTATTTGTTGTAAAACCTAAAGGAGGCTAAAAATTGCTCTGCTGATCCCTCTTGCATATAGCTTGATTTCTATGGTAATTTCTGAAGAATTTTTGTGGTCATAAAAGGTAATGATCTGACAATGTTTCACATTTAAGTTTTCATAAGCTAAATATAGTTCAGATAGCTCTGGTCCAGGCATTACTGGACATGATCATACACCTCCTCCCTAGTGAGTCATCCAAACTTTATGCTATCAAAGTTCTCACTCTCTCCTGAGCTGTTAACTACACCTGATATTTCTGTGGATTCGTTTCCACTGGAGATGAAGCTAAGTCCAGCAAATAAAACAGTAACTGACCTCCATCTGCCATAAAATAACTCTGTCATTTGCAGTGAAGATGTGCTGATTAACGCTCACTGAAGATCTAGCCCCAAACATTTCCAATAAAGTGGCACTGACGAAAGAGTGCTCATCAGCAATACCAAAGCAGTGGTGCTGCTATTTTTCTAGAGAGAGACGAATTAGCCTAATTAGGAACCATATTATCATTTATCCTTAAGCATTGCACATAATATTAAGAACTGTTTGGGTAAAAGTGACAATCCTTTTAGGGATGCTGAAAAAGAGCAAGCAGACTATAGCTGTCCTATAAAAAATACACATACTGTGTTATCTTAGTGTTGT